GGGTGGGTGGGGGTGGGGGTGGATGCTGGTGAATACCAGCCCCGAAGGGACACTGATTTGGAGCACTTTATCCACGCAGTCGCTCTTGCATGGGCTCTTCTGTTCACTCCATTTATCCAGATTCTACACACAGGGGCATCACCCCTCTATCCTGCTCATCCCTCCCTAAACCACTGATCCAGCCATAGAGGCGAGTGGAGTCCAGAGCTCTTTCTCTTTAAATTGCTTTGTAATTAGAGGTGGAAGGTTACTCTAATGACTGCCAATTACCTGGAACAATCTATCCTTTGGTTTCTGGTGACAAATTAATGAAATTACCATAGGGAGCTAATTACCAAGGATGCAAACGGACGCATCTAGCAGAGGCATATCTTCTGGAGTCAGCTACCTCTCATTTGCAGGTTCTCCCAGGGCATCCGGGGTGTCTCCTGTGGGATATTTAAATGATGTAATTTCAGTGTGCTGGATTCCTAGTCTCAGTCACAGAGAAAGACATATTTACTGCATATAATTAAAAGGTGAAATAGACCATGACAGTGGGATTTACAGTCATGACACTGGGCAGGAGGAGCAGAGTGAGGAACTGCAAACTTCTAGCACCTTGGCTCCAGGTGAGCCGCCTTTGGGCCGGGCACCTGGCCTCTCCTCTCCCACGGACCTCGGTGCTGACAGTGGCTTAGCAGTGACAGTCATGGGACAGGGATGTGTAGCACACAGGCAAGTGCCAGGGAAGCTGCTTGTCCATTTACCTTTCCACTGGTGCCAGTGGGGAGCACCCCGTGACACTGCAGTTAGAAGGAAGCTATGCCCATCACTGTACCACCAACGTGGCACTGCAGTTGGGAAGCGGAGCACTTGCGCTGGAATCGCAGCTCCGGCTGGACTTGGAGAAATGGAGCCACTTCTGCCAGTTCTGCCGTCTGCACTTGCAGAGAAGCTCTTCTCCGTGGCTTCCCGGGACAAGGCCATCCCAAAGGCAGAGGAGTGGAAGAGGCTAGAACCCTGCAGGGGCGCAGCTGCAAGGTCTTAAGAGGACCCCTGAGAGTCAGTTCCTCAGGGAACCTGGGATCCTCTTTCCCTGGCACTCGCCAAGCCCTGTTTTCTAACTTCAAATGAAAAGAAAGCAGTGAGCCTTCACGCCTGTGTGCTGATGGGTAGAAGCCCTCAATTTTACGGCTGCTCTTCAATTTTGTCAGCCAACAGCACTTCCAGATGGCAGTGATAGGCAAGGTGACGTCCCCTGGTCACTTAGAAAGGCCTGGGATGCTTACGGTTCTCCAGGATAGAGAGGATGGAAGAGAGAGAGCAAAGGAACCTGGAAGTGTTCTGGGATTGTCAGGCTTCTGAACAGGGGCTAAATCACCCTCTTGGCACTTTCTCATGTGTGATGACAAAACCTAGCTCTTGGTGACAGTGCCAAGATGTCCCAGCTCAGCTCTGCCTCTCTGAGATGCTCACACAGGGTCTGACTCAGGAAAGGACTTCCACACCCGGGGGCTGTCTAAAGCCTGGAAAGGAAGCCTCCTGGGGTCCTCCCTGGACACCTTTGGGGCCAGGAGGCCAAGTGCACACAGGCCGGCTCCGCAGCAGCCTGAGGATAAGGGGAAGCAGCCCCGGAACGCCTCCTTCTTCTGGTGCTTCTCTGCGTGTTGCCCTCAGCACCCAGGAACTCAGCGTTTTGCCCTGTTACCCAGCAGCGCACTGTTGGCCCTAATGAAGGAGGAGAAGGCAGAAAGATCGATGAATAAGGAACAGACAAGCTGCAGATGAGAGCTGCTGATTTGCTTGGCCTTGCTTCCTAAATACAGGGCAAGAGTGTGACCTTGCTCTTCCTCCATAGGCGTGCCGGGGGCCCCTTCCTCCCCAGAAACCTTTCACAGGAGGCTCTGCCCACCTGCAACCTGCCCATTGAGCTGGGCTGAGCTTGGGGCTGAAACCCCAAGCTCCACTCCCAGGGCCAACTTTGGGCTCAGCCCAAACATAACTCCAAGTGAGCACAGCCGACTTCCACTATATTGGTAAAATATGCAGAACACCACTTATTCTCCAGCCGGTGTGTGGCCTGGAGGCTGTGAGGACATGCAGTTGGGCAAATGCTGTGCTTTCGGTCAATGGTCTTTTAGAGCTTTCAGTGATAACAAACAGCGCTCGATAGCATGTGTGCCACAGGTTCACCACAACTGCTACATCTAGAATGTTCTCCGGAAGCCTCCTGAGCTCAGAGGCGAGGCTTTGGGGAGGTGACTGGATCAGTGGGTGCTGTGCCATTAATGGAGTCATCCTGGGCTGCCAGGAGGTGGCACCTTGCCGGAAGAGGGGCCCTGGAGGGGTGCACCTTCCTCTTGGCTCCTCTTCTCTTTCTCTGCTTCCTGGCCACCATGGCCTGAGCCACTTTCCTTCACCCTCACCCTCCCACTATGCTTTTTCTGCCTGGGAGCCAGCTGACTCTGGATGGAATCTTCCAGAAATCGTGGGTCAAAATAAACCCCTCCTTCCTTAAGTCTTGGGTGTTGGGTGTGTAGCTCAGCAAGCAAAGTGACTAACAGAGCCACCCGCTCACTCACTGCCCCCTTTCCCTCCCCCCTCCGCTGCTGCAGCTCTGCACACTGAGCTCCAGCTCCTTCCTCTAGTCCCATCCCTGGCGACCTCCACTCAGCCATCTGTTTCTGTGGGCTGGAGCACCCCAGGCACCTTGTCCTTTTGTGCCAGACTTGTTTGGCTTAGCATGGTTCTTTCAGGGTTCACCCATGCTGTGGCATGTGCTAGTATTTTCTTCCTTTTAAAGGCTGAATAATCTTCCTCTGTGTGCCTGGACCACATTTTGCTTTTCCACTCATCTGTTGAGGGACCTGGCCTGTCCCCCTGTCACAGAGCTGGCCTTGACTGCTTTCCCTCTACTCGGCTAGAGTGTAAATCTAATGAATTTTGGGTGAGCCCCCAACCCCGTGAGATGGGGCGGGCACACGCAGGAATTGCTGCATGCATAAAAACACTTCATTATACTAAGTAAGGAGTGAAATTTGTGAGAGGAAATTTGGAAAACTTAGGAAAGTGTCAAGAAGAAGTACAAATTGCCTGTGACCCATGCCCCCAAGATAGCAGGTGACCTATATGCACCCTGGGAAGGGAAGATTTAGAGAGAGGAGCAAGACAGCAGTGACAGTGCTCCTGAGGGAAGTTGGCTGCTCTTGCTTTTGCAGAGCAGCTTGGAAGAAACCCCTTGAGGGCCCGCCCGAGATGCCAGACGCAGCTGCTGAAGCTCAGCAAGGCTGCAGAAGCTGCAGGGGCCAGACCAGGTGGGTGCAGCCCGGGGTAGATGCATGGTTTAGAGGGATGTTGACTTATACCCAGGGAAAGCTGCCCTCCTGAGAGAGCAGCCTGACCCCTGGCCCAGCCCTGTGGGGCAGGAACAGTCTCTTGTGTCACCCGTGCCTGGCCCAGGCAGTAGGCATGGCAGGGAGTGTGGCCCAACTCTCAGATAAGATGAAACCTTAGCGTGGCTGAACACCTAGGCCAGGACTCGAAGCCACATTGCAAACCCCAGGCCAGTTCTGTCCCTGGGCTGCAGAACTGAGTGGTGGGACAAGTGGGGCATGGGTGGGGGGTGCTTGGGGATCTCTGGGTTCCCTGCTGAGAGGTTGGGACAGGCTGGGGATGAGAGTGACCAGCAGGAGGGGCTTCACTACTCCATTAATAATAATTCTGATTCTTCTGTGTATGTGATGGTTTATTTTATTTTACTTTTCCAGAACTGGAGATCTAGGTCTTCCCAATGAGCTTTTCCCTAACTCTTTATTGTGTTTAATTTTGAGACAGCGCCTTGCTAAGTCACTACTAAGTTTCCCAAGCTGGGATTGAACTTGTGATCTTCCTTCTTTAGCTTCCACAAATTCTGGATTCCCAGACTGACCTAAATTTTTAAGGGAGTTTTTTACCCATATTCTTTTTTTTGAAGAGATAGTTCAAAATACATATGCAGTTTACCACTAGTGGGCATCATGTCCCCTACCCTTTCTGCATCAGGTGCTGGATTTTGCCATCTTCACCCCCACATCAACCCTCCAAGCACAGTTGGGTATGACTTACTAGCCCAAAAGGTATTCATTTTTTAAATAACAGCTTTGCAAAATACAAATCACATACGATAAAATTCACCCTCTAAGGAATAGAGTTTCTAAGCCGGGGCTTGGTGACGCACACCAATCATCCTGGCGCACTAGGAGGCTGGCTTAGGAGGATCCCAAGTTTGAGCCCAACCTAGGTAACTCAGTGAGCCGTTGACTCAAAGTAAACAGTAAAAATGAAGGGGCCGGGGTAGGCCAGGGATGCTAACGGAGCTCAGTGAAGGGCCCTGGTTTCCATACCACTACTCCCCAAAAGAACAACGGGGTGCATTTAGCATATTTGCAGGACTGAGCAAGCTATGCCACTCCAAAGGCTCCCCCCTACCCCAGGAGACCAGCAATCTCAAGGCAGTCACCTCCTTCCCCTTGTAGAGTGTGTGCTCCCAGTCTGCTTCTGTCCCTATAGCTTTACCTACTCTGAGCACACGGGCCACATGGACAGACTCAGGATAAGTGGCTTTTGCACCTGGCTTCTTTTGCTTTGTGTGAGGTCTCCAAGACGCACCTACGTAGGAGCACACGTTGGTCCTTCTGGTGGCTGAAGCATGTTCCGCTGTGCATGGGCAGTTGCGCGCTCTGTCCTGTGGGTAGCTGCATGTGTTCATCCTCCCACAGGCTGGTGGACGTTTGGGTTCTTTTCACCATTAGCTATTGTGAGCTGTATATGTCTTTCTGTTGGCCTCCCTGTGCAGACAGATTGTCCCCATCGTGCAGATGAGGCACTAGGGCCGGAGCTACGAGGACGTGCCAGCCTCCTCTTTTCAGCAGCCCTGCTTTGCCAGCACCCTGAGGCCCACCAGAAGCATCAAGGTTCATCCCAGGAGCCCAGGTCTGCCCTGCTTCTGATGTCCAGGGGAAGCCATGGGCGCCTCCCAGCCTCCACTCCTGCCCTTGGCCAAGCTCAGCCCATGGTGGCTCCTTCTGATGCCAGCAGGTGAGTGGGCGTCATCGCCAGGTCTTTGTCTCACCCGTGCCTCCCCACGCTGTGTGGACACTCCCTCAGGCTACTCCTTGCAGTCATCAAGGCTGAAGGGGTCCTGAGAGGGCGTCAGCCAGGCGATGGGCTCCCGGGAGGAGGCGGTGGGGCTCTAGCAGCTCTGGCGTCCGCAGCTGCATCACCCTGAATGTCCCAAGCTTCAGTGTTCTTCATGCAAAGCACAAATAGTTCTGTGGACCTCCCAGGGCTATTCTGGGGACCGAAGGACGCTTGACTAGCACCTGGGCTCTGGGGGGCACTCAGGACAGCCACATGGCCACGATTGTCCCTGCTGTGCCCTCTGTCCCAGATGGCCTGCTGTTTTCTGAGTTTTGGAGCTGGCACCCTCCACCTGCTCAGGCAGCAGAGCCTTGGACAGGACGCTGTTTGCAGCACTCAGGGACAAACTTCCCGGCACACAATGTTGCAGCGCCCTCCCTAGCTGAGAGGAAGCTGCGCATGCCAAAGCGTGAAGACAGGCGGGGTGATGAGCTAAGTGGCAGAGGAGGGCTTCCTGGCTGGCTTTGGTGGTTCATCTGCTCCGTGGATGGGAACCACAGCTGTCCCCACTGGCCGCAGGGGAGGCAGCCTCCTGCCTGCAGCTTCCCCCGGTGGACCAGATGCCTCCCATGTCCCCATGCCCTTTGGGGCTGAGTCTCTTCCCTGCCCGCTGCTGCTGCACTGCCCCTTTCTGTCTAATCACAGAGACACTGGCACGCAGTGAGTGCCCAGGGCACGGCATTTAACCTCTCTGCCCTCCATGGGGATGCGGCTGGGGCTGGAGCAAACAGAGGCTCAGCACCTTGGGTGCCTTTGCCCCGAGGGGAAGTGGACCTGAAGCCACACAACTGCCTCTTCCATCTCCTGAGGACTCCTCTTCTTGTCCCCTCATCCTACAGTGCTGGCACAGCAAGGCCCTCACACTCAGGCTGAGGATCGCCTCTTCAAATACCTCTTTGGGGGCTACAACCGGTGGGCACGGCCAGTGCCCAACACCTCGGATGTGGTGATCGTGCGCTTCGGACTGTCTATCGCCCAGCTCATCGATGTGGTGCTCATGTCCTTCCTTCTAGACCATGCCCCTTGCACGGGCCCTGGCTCCCCGCCCTTCCCCCAGCACCCCCTGGCCTGCCCAGCCCTCCTCAGCTCTCATCCTCCTGTGCTCCTTCCCCTTTCCTGGTCCAGATGCCTCGTGGTGGGCCTGGTGCTGGTAGCAGCATCAGGAGGGGTGGCCCTCCTGGGCAGCCTCTGTCTTCCTGGGGAGCTGTCATTCTGATTGCTCTCTCTCTCTCTCTCTCTCTCTCTCTCTCTCTCTCTCTCTCTCTCTCTTTCTCTCTCACCGCTGGCCAGGACGAAAAGAACCAGATGATGACCACCAATGTCTGGCTAAAGCAGGTGAGGGCTCCCCTGAAGGGACCCTCTACCCACCAGGGGCGAAGGAGAAACTGGATATCCAATTCACAATTCCCCAACAGACGCCACTCAGGGTGTCCAGAGTTCATGGCACCGCCACCTGTACCCCATGAGAGTTCACTCTGCCCATTTGACAGCCCAGAAGGGTGAAGGGCAAAATGCAACCAGGATAAAAAGAGCGGTTTCAGGTGTGCTGTTCTCTGAGACCCAGAGAACACTGAGGGTTCTATGTCTATGATGCCCAAAAAGATCCCAGAGTTTAGTGGCTTAAAGAGCTGACCAGCTTACCATGGTTCAGAGCTTTATGTGCTTTGCGTGAGTGAAGCCAGGGTACTTGGCATCCGGCTGGTGACTGAGTCTGCTCGGGAGAGTCTAAGACAGCTTCCCTCATGTGTATATTCTTGGGTAGGAATGTGTGGAGAGAGTCCAGAAGGTTCTAGAAGGCTGGCCCAGGCTAGGCTCCTTTCCTGTTAGGCACCCTCAGGGTCATTCTCTGGGCTCTTTCCAGCAGAGGAGTTGGATTCTCACCTCGTGGATCAAGGCTCCCAGAATGATGGTCCCAAGAGGCAGGAAGTGAAAGCTGTGAGTCTCGTGTCTGAACACTGGACCAGCTTCAGTGATGCTGGATTTCAGTGATCCAAATTAATCCAGCTGGATTCAGGCGAGAGTATCAATTCTGCCTCTTAGTGGAAGTGAACCCTAAGAATGTGTGGCCCTCTTTGATGTGCAGTGCCTGCGACAGGCTTGGGGACCAACTCCTTTTAGAGCTTTTCCCTACCCCTCATGCTCTGCCCAACCACTCCCAAGGCACTGAGGTGGTGGGAGAATGTGAGAAACGGGAGCTGGTCCCTGCCTGTAGCCCCTGCTCCTGCCCATCAGGCCTACTCCTTCCTACGGCAGAGGTGAATGCACAGAAGACCGCAGGACCAGAAAGTGTGCCCTGTTTGTCTGCCTGCTTCATTAGGCTCTGAATGGCACTGGGCTGTGTGCCAGGGACTCAGATCTAAATAAAATAGGAGGCCTTGGGCAGGTCCCTTCTGACATCATGGGGTTCCTCCACTAGGGAGTCCCTAGACTCCCTTTTACAGATGCACCAGTGGAGCTGGAGCAAGGAAAGGACTTGAAAAGCCACACAGTCATGCAGCACTGGGGTGGGGGGTTGGAACCTTGTTGTCCCCATTGTCCCTGTGTCTTGGTCACCTGAGTTTACCTGGGATTGCAAGGAAAGGGCCCTACAGAGGGACCCAGGCTGCTGTGGCCTCCTCTGAGAGCCCCAGATGCTCCATAACATCTGGGAGTCTCTTTCCTCATCTGTAAAGTGGAAGTGGTATCATCTACTGATTCACATTGGTGCCTAAATGGTGGCCTAGTCTGAATGCCTGAGAGATGGACTGGAGATGAGAACCGAGCATGGGAGGAGAAGGCTTTCACTTGGACTTGGTTGGTAGTAGTGGGGGTGTGGCCCAGAGCACCCCTGCCTGCAGAGGTCCTGGAGGGGCGACTCTGGCATGCAGCCTGAAGGTCCCAGGTGACCAACCTGTCTCATCTGTGGACCTCTGTCAGCTTGGTTCCATCTCTCTGCTCCTGGTAAATAGGAGACATTTGGCCTGCGCCGCACTTCCTGCCCGGCTCTCCTGGGAGGCTCTTCCTAAGGCAGGGCACACAAATGACTGCAAGGCATGGTGCCCGGAAATGAGTGGCTGCAGATATGCATGCCTGGGAATGAATGGCCTGCCCACTGGGGTCAGTCCTTGGGCGGGAGACTGAGGGCCCAGCACCAGGACGCTGGAATGCTGGACACCAGCTTGGGGCCCTGTCCTGGCGTCGCAGCCCCTCTGTTTTATGGGGCTGCTTGGGGAGATGTGGGGGCCCAGGCCCCTGCCCATGCAGTGTGGTGATAAGACCCCTTGGCCCACAGGAGTGGAATGACTACAAGCTACGCTGGAACCCGGCTGACTTCGGCAACATCACCTCCCTCCGGGTCCCCTCCGAAATGATCTGGATCCCTGACATTGTTCTCTACAACAAGTAGGAAGCAGCAGGAGTCCCGGGGGGGACCCAAAGGGATGCCAGGCAAGGGCCTTGGGAGGGGGGTCCCTGCTTCCCTTTTGCCTGCTTAGCTTTCCCCTTTCTTTCTTTTATCTCTTCCACTGTGCCTTTCACGCTTACACCCCAGCGTTTGTCGAGCCGCTACTGTGTACCGGTACCTGACACTGGTACTAGAACGCACTTGCCGGTTCCGAGGAGTCTTTGAGACGCACAGTGCCAGCTCTCTGCAGATGCCCATGGCTGCGGTGAGGGATGGCGCTGCTGGGACCTGCAAGTGGCTTCCTAGGGCAGCAACCGTGGAGGGGACGAGCTCCCTGGGTGCGAGCTGTGCTTCCTCATTGTTCACAGCTGCCTCATAAGCATGACCAAGAGGGACTGACCAGGCCACGACCACCAGAGGCTCACCGGAGGCCGGGGAGCCTGAAAGAATCCCAGGGGGAAAATCCGGTGTGGGACTCAGGTTCCCACCCCCACCTCAGGGGCTGGAGCTGGCGCCCAAGATCCTGTGTGGGGAGCAAAGAGCTGGCACCAATTTGACTTTGAGTTTTTGGGACAAGGTTTTGCCCAGGGTTCCTTGATGACCATAAGAAATACTTCTGAGGATAGGACAGAACTGTCGCTGAGGTTTAGAGTCCCCCCACCCCACCACCAGCTTCCAATCAAAGGTGTTACTCTGCAAAATGGGAACCTGTGGCCCTCTAGTGGTGATTATTTGAAATGACTAAAGTAGCTTTTATTTTTTTAAAATTACTTAAAAAACAAAACAAAACAAAAAAACACACACACACACACACTAGAAGTTGAATCCAAGGCCCTTAAGCTGAGCAACATCCCTAACCACTTTTTATTTTGAGACACGTTCTCCCAAAGCCCCTCAGTTTCCCTTGCTGGGGTTGTATTTGTGATCCTCCTGCCTCAGCCTCCCAGAGTGCTGGGAATACAGGTGTTTACCACCACACCCAGCTCAATTTAACCTTTTGACTGATGTGTTACTCTCTCTCACAATTCCTGTCTCCTGCTTGCCCATACCTCTACCCTGAAACTACTGGAGGAGAAAGCGATCTCCTTATTTCTGTGTATTCTGATTCCTAGGCTTTAGAGTTGCCCATGGGAACTGGAGGGGAAGGGGTGGGGCTAGACTGGGTCATTGAGCCTGCTGTGCTCCTGTTCAAGGGCAGTAGGGGACTCAGCCTCCTGTCACTGTCTTTCAGTGTCCCAGGGTCCAGAGAGGTCACTGGGTGCCAGGCCCACACACCTTAACTTTGTCTCCACTGCCCCCCACTGCACTCTTCCCTGCATTCCAGGGCACCCTGTGAGTGTCGCCTTTGCCCCACCTGCCCCTGTTCCCACAAGACCCCCTGCTGCCCCACTGTCCTTCCATTTCCCGGCCAGATCTTACCTTGGTCAAGGCCTTGCTCCAATGGCAGCCTTTGGGATGGCCGGGCTGCTGTCTCACGTTCCTCAGGCCTAGGGAGGAGGCTAACTGGAAATGCATGCTCAACGCGGGAACTCACGAGGGACCTCCAGCAGCCAAAGTGCTAGGTCCCCTGCACAGACGTGCACAGTCTAGCGCTTCCAGAACGGCCTCAGGAAGCGGCAAGAATAATGCAATAAGTGTGAAGTAAAGGGCAGCATTTGGACGGGAGTGAGTGGCAATGTGACTTTTACTGTGATACTTTTAAAATTTAGATCCACTCTGGTTTGAATCTCACCACCTGGGTATAACACAAAAATGACAGTAGTGGCTATTTTATTTTATTTTAATTTTTTTTTCCCTCCGAATGCCTTCAGGGCAGGTTTGGCTGGCTTGAGTTGTGGGGATTGAACCACAGAAACCTGAGCCTGACTGCTTTCTTGAAGCAGCCACTTAAAGAGCTGAGCTACGGGGCAGGCCCCCTATAGTGGCTATTTTAAAAATTCCATATGCTTCCCATTGTTCTTCAAACTTCTTACTTTTGCGATGAAAGTAAGGATATCTGGAGACACTCAGGTACATGCGTCTGCTCCGAAGATTCACACTCTGTGTGGAGCGCTTGCGTGGCTGTGTAGGGTGGCCCTGCCTGGCTCTCCCACGAGGCTGGCATGCGTCGCCCCAGTCTGCATCCTCTCTCTCCCCAGTGCCGACGGGGAGTTCGCAGTAACCCACATGACCAAGGCCCACCTCTTCTCCACCGGCACCGTGCACTGGGTTCCCCCGGCCATCTACAAGAGCTCCTGCAGTATCGATGTCACCTTCTTCCCCTTCGACCAGCAGAACTGCAAGATGAAGTTCGGCTCCTGGACGTACGACAAGGCCAAGATCGACCTGGAGCAGATGGAGCAGATGGTAGACTTGAAGGACTACTGGGAGAGTGGTGAGTGGGCCATCATCAACGCCACGGGCACCTACAACAGCAAGAAGTACGACTGCTGCGCGGAGATCTACCCTGACGTCACCTACGCCTTCGTCATCCGGCGCCTGCCGCTCTTCTACACCATCAACCTCATCATCCCGTGCCTGCTCATCTCCTGCCTCACGGTGCTGGTCTTCTACCTGCCGTCTGACTGCGGCGAGAAGATCACGCTGTGCATCTCCGTGCTGCTGTCGCTCACCGTCTTCCTGCTGCTCATCACCGAGATCATCCCGTCCACCTCGCTGGTCATCCCGCTCATCGGCGAGTACCTGCTCTTCACCATGATCTTCGTCACGCTCTCCATCGTCATCACTGTCTTCGTGCTCAACGTGCACCACCGCTCGCCGCGCACGCATACCATGCCGCGCTGGGTGCGGCTGGTCCTGCTGGGCTGCGTGCCCCGCTGCCTGCTCATGAGCCGGCCCCCAGCACCAGCCTTGGAGCTCCCCGAGTCCCGGGGCCTGAAGCTCAGCCACTCTTATCATTGGCTGGAGACCAGCGTGGATGCCCAGGAGCAGGAGGAGGAAGAGGAGGAGGAGGAGGAGGAAGAGGAAGAGGAAGAAGAAGAAGAGCAGGAGGAGGTGGCGGCGGAGGCGGAGGAGGGATGGGTGTGTGCGGGCCGCCTAGCCCCCTCCGCGGGTGCCCTCTATGGCCACACCAGCCTGCAGCCAGGGGCGTCAGGCCCCAAGGCTGAGCCTGCTTCCTGGGGACGTGAAGTCTCGCTGTCCTCTCCCTTGCGAAAGGCCCTGGAAGGGGTGCACTACATCGCGGAACACCTGCGGTCTGAGGATGCTGACTCCTCGGTGCGTGGGGGCTGCGTGAGGGCCCCTGTCCTGGAGGCTCCGCCAGCATAGCGAGCGGCAGGGTGTTACTGTGGGCCCACCCAGGCCCCTCGCTGGAGCAGGTTCCTCTGGGGTCTGGAATCAGTGGTGAGAGGGAGCCTCTAGCCAGCAGCTGTCAGGACTCCTGTTAGCAGGAAGAGCATGAGATCAAGAATGTCCCTTCTGGCCCAAGGCTGCGCTCCCAGCACTGTGGGAGGGGGAGGAGGGACGACAGCAAGCTCAGTTTCCACATGGGAAGCTTAACAAGAGCCTGGATCAAAATAAAGGGGCTGGGTATGTAGCTCAGCTTGAAGGCCCGGGGTGTAATCCCCAATCCTGCTCGAGTACACGCATGCAAGAACATCCCCTCCCCCTGAGCTGAGGGACCAGCCTTTGGGCATCCAAGGTCTGCAGGTGGGCGCGATGCAGAGGCACCAGGATAGATCAGGAGGGACCAGTGTGTCAGCCCGAACCCGGAGGGCAGACCCACCTCACTCCTTGTGCTGGGGCCTCTGCCTTTCCTCATCAGGGACTCGGCCTTTTGTGAACTTTGCCATTTGACTGCACACCCTGCGGGTTCTTGGCCGTGTGGGGGTGGCCTCCCTCCCTGGCCCCTGCCCTGTGTACCCAGCGTTGAGCCCCGGAATTCCCCCGGAGGAAGGGCACAGGGGATTGCTGTGAGGCCTTGCTGATAGATAAGAACATGAATCGTTCATTTGGGAGCAGCTAGCAGTCCAGACCCCCTGGACTGGGCTGGAAGTTCAAGCTCTGCACTGCCCCCTGCCCCGCTTCCAGGCCACCCTGGGTCACAGAGACCCTGGGTCACCCCCTGCCTGTTCCTCTGCAGGTCCTACAGGTGGCTGGGAAGACTAGGCTGCGAAGTCTTCACTACCCTAATGGAGAATAGCTTGTAAATCCTGTCTTGGAATTCCGTGCCTCTAGGTGGCGCTAGCATGTCCTCGTATCCACATAGCTTCCTTTACTCGGAACAGGAGGATACGGCCAGCCCTGGGCTGTATCAGATAGGACAGGACCTGGCAGAGGGTCGCAGAGCCAGGATGGCCCCTGCCCCTCCTCGCACACCCACCTCCTACCACTGCTGACCGTGGCTTCCCAGGTCTCTAGTCCGTTGCTGCTGCCCCTGTGGTCTTCCTAGCTGTGCTGTGCACTGGAAGGAGCTCCCCTTCCCTGGGTCTGGCCGCCCTCCCTGCGAGCCCCTCTGTGCCTGCAGGTGAAGGAAGACTGGAAGTACGTCGCCATGGTCATCGACAGGATATTCCTCTGGTTGTTCATCATTGTCTGCTTCCTGGGGACCGTCGGGCTCTTTCTTCCTCCATTCCTGGCTGGAATGATCTGACTTCATGTCCTTCGTGTTGGTGCTAAGGTACCCTGCCAACTATCTCTTGATATCCTTAACTTCAGCTATCTCTAGGGTGCCGTGTGGGGCCTAGGCCATCTGCCCGGGGTGCTTCTGGAGAGTCCTTACTCTGGCCCAGACATCATAGCCTTCCTGGGGCAGCTCTTCTTGGCATCGCTGCGTCATGGCTGTGATCTGCTGGACACAGAGTCCTGGTTCAGAGGCCTGGGAGCTGGAAAGGGTGAAGGCATCTGCTTTGTGGAACCCTGGGATTCGGCGGTGATGATGCAAGCTCCTGGAGGAGCAGTGTGGACCCCAGGAGTCAGGCAGGGGGATAGAGGGCTGGGACGAGGACAGAGAGACAGCAGCCCCGAGGAGAGCACATGGGGAGGGAGGCCAGGGGTGGGGATGAGACGCAGCAATGTGGGTGCAAAAGGAGCCCAGGATGTCAGGGAAGAGCAGAGAGGGCAGGGGGCGCCCTGCTCCCCAACTGAAGCACCTCTGAGACCCTGCTCCCCTCTCCTTCCTCTTTGCAAAGTGGCTACCACCAGCCAGCCCAGCTGAGCCTCTGCCTGTGGGGTGCTCCTGCACCAAAGCATGCAGCCGACAGGCTTGAAGGCCGCCCATCCAAGTCATTCTCTACCTGCTGAAACTTGTAGCTTGAGCTGGGTGCAGTGCTGCACACCTGTGATCCCAGCCATCTGGGAGGCTGAGGCAGCAGGGCCAGCAGCTCGAGCCCAGCCTGGGCGACTTATATGCAAGCATGTCCCAAACTAAGCAAAAGGTAGAAAGAGCTGGAGATGCAGTCAGTGCTCCCCAGGGTTCAATTCCTAGTAGCACAAAAAGCAACACAGCCACTGTCCCCCAGCTTGCTGGGCAGCTCCTCTCCCCTTCGACAGGGCCTGGTCCCTGACATCTGCTTTGTTTCACTCTTTTGTCTGGACTTCTCCAGGGCAGGACTGATGCCTCTCCTGTGTCTCCCTTCACCAGTACTGAGCACAGCACCTCCGACGCGTGTGATCAGCCCTCTGGACACATGGTCCGTGAGGTGGGGCAGCAGGCTGAGGCCCCAGGAAGGTCCACACCCAGACAGCTGTGCGGCGGTCTGTGTGCCTGGCTCCTGTGCCACAGCACAGAACATTGCATGGTGTTGGGGGATGGGAGCCCAGACCTTGCAGCTAACAGAGGTGGGCCCTGGGCTCCCCAGATAGCATGAGGCCCCAGCAGGAAGTGGAGCAGGAACAGTGCTCTGCTTCCCTGTGAGCTTGGGCCCCCTCCTCCTGAACCCATGCAAGCCCCTCCCTGCAGGCTCAGGGAAACTGTCTATCCTAGACCCTGGTTTGGCCCTCTCCTCAGTTCT